TGAAACTTGTACGAAATACTAGTGTATTTTTTATATATTGGTGATGATTAAGTTCTTTAACCTTTTCAATGCGACTTTTAGATTTAGTATTATCTTCCATTTTTAATATCCTATCTTTAAATTTTGATATAAACTAGTTTTCGAAAAAACAGTCCTGGGACATATTTCTCATAGCACTAATAAATAGTGGGGCAAATATGTCCCAACAGTAATAAAGAAACAGTGTGATATAAAAGAAAAATATTTTTTCATGACCTGGAAAACATTCTTTGTATGACAGGAAGTAAAATATTAAATAAAAAGCGGTACTTGATACAGACGACAAACAATTTTTCTATTCCTCCCACCTCTTTCGATTGGAAGGAGATCACCAATATTAGTGCAATACTTTACTCACTTTACCTCCACTAATTAGTGATTCTACCAACTTGATATGAAAATCAATTAATGTCATTTTTATATTTGAATATTCAGTGTAAATGATGAATCTATTGAAGAGTGCTGTTCTTAGCAGACGAAACAAGCTTTTCCTTCCATTTGGTACTCCTTCTGTTTAAGTCATAGAGAGTAATCGTTTGGTTAGCAAGGCTCATCCTCGAAAATCCTAACGGTAAATTTCAGTTTGCTATCTCTATTTCAAAAATTTCTTTCTTTACGAAAACAAAATCTGTTCATGAAGTAATATTCTAAACTTCGTTTAGATATCTCTCTCAAGCCCAAGTCAAAAATGCGTTTATCTTTTACTCGAGCCGGTTATACACCGAGACAATCCCTGCCGTGATAGGTTTTGGCTTACAATAAAACCATAAATCTCTTTAGTGGTGTTTTGAGTAAATATAATAACAGATCAAAGTAATATAATCTATTCATAAATTTACAATGTAACAAATGTACATACGTAATTTATTTGTTATTTATCTATCACGCTATCATTTCCAATTTTGATTTTTCATATTGAATTTGATAGGTTGTACTTTATTACACCAAAATCTAATAAAATATAACATGACACAAGAAATAGTTTCAGAATAAGTTTGATGTGTTGTTTATTATCATTCAGTAAGAGACTAATTTACTTCTTTCAATGCTAATCTAACAGACAATTATTATTGTCAAATGGAAGAAATAAGATAATTTACTTGTGTGCTTGTGGTTAGTAAACGTCGGCCCTATGCAACTAATTGTCAAGAAAGAACGGAGTACAAAAGTTTAGATTTATGAGATTTATGAGGAGCATTTATGAAACTTAGATGTACACTGAGTACTTATTTCAAAAATTTACAACTAAGGATTTAATTTGTTATATGTAAATATACTCCTAAATCTAGAGATAATGGGAGTGCGACAATGGGAATTACTGGCACAGGACCGACAAACATGGAAGGCAATAGTAACCGCGGCAAAGACTTACGAAGAGTTGTAGCGCCATTTATGATGATGATGATGAAATATACTGTATAACTATTTATATGGATGTGAAATATGGATCATGAAGGATAATATGATGGACATTTTAGGATGTACGTTGAAAAATTTAGGCAAATATCGAGGACAAATTTAATAATCAAATCTTGCCCAAGTACTTTCGCTTCCTACAGCATTATCAGGGGCATCTGAAATAAGCCAAGAAAAGTTTTTTAAATGAAGAAAATTAATAAACTTCGATAAAAAACTCGAAGTTAATGGATGATAAAAGTTTTTTGTGATTAACATTTTAGAATTATTTCGTGAAATTTGGCTATCCAGCAAGCCCAGATGCCCCTGATGATGCTGTAGAAAGCGAAAGTACTTGGGCAATATTTGATTATTAAATTTGTGCTCGAAATTTGCCTTCATTTTTTAAAGTTCATTTATTCGAGGATTCAACCTTATATCAATAATTTAGGATGTGACTCAGGTATATGATAAAGTATGACAAAGACGCCATAACTATAAACTAAGACTACATTTACCAAAACGATACTCTCAAATAATTGACTCCTGCATCTTCGAAAGATATTTCAGAATTAAACAGGACGAAACATACACGGAATTGACAGATATTACAGCAGGGCTGCCACAAAGAAGTGTCTTTACCTTTTGTATACTTGTTATATTATTGTCCTAGAAAATATACAATTGCAACATTTACCGAAGATATTGATATCATAGCAATATGCAAAACCAACGAGGAAGCGACAAAGAAATTACACAGATGTTAATCAAATATATACTCCAGGGAAATAAGCAAAAAATAGACCATGTTCGTGACGCTCAATAATCCAGGTCGCTGACAACTTTTTTAGTTATTTTAGACCTCTAGGAAGAAAACCTACTTATTTCTTGCCTTGAATTTGGAGCTGTTTTTTAATTATTGACAATTTAATGCAAAAAAGCGCGACTGTTTCTATGATTATTGATACTAGTATTAAAAAAAAATAGATTTTTGGAAGAAAATTGGTTTACACAAATTGTTTAAAACAAACTAGACTATTTATTAATTAATTAATATATAAACAAATTACTAATTTCTAATGTACGTACAAATTACATATAAATTAAAAAAATAATGATCAAAATCCATTGAGTAGATCCGGAGGTATAGAAAATTTTATTAGTTTGAAATTGCTTGTTCGGTATGAATTTGTAGGTTCTTCCTAGTCACCATTTGAACTACATTTTTGAAAATTTGTAGAGGGTCCTGTAAAGGTACAATGTTTGTGCAAATTTTTTACAAAAAATACAAATCCGATTCCTTAACATGGCAAAAAATGAGGTTCCTTAATTATTATAATCAAATTAGCTGTGAATTATCATCTTTTCTTTGACTTGATCTACTACTTGTTGTAATTAGTCGTAACACACTTCCCTTGTTGTTTGAGGCTTATTATTTTCTGGGCCGTATACTCCGATAATGTTCAGGTTTTCCTTCTCCATTCTTATCTTTAATGTTACTATTATTTCTGATATGTATTGACACTCTTTGATGTAATTTTGATACCTTTGGTGTATTATTAAGGCTACACCTCCTTTGGCCCTGTTTTCTTTTGCTACTCCACTCTAGATTAGTATGTATTCACCTAATTTTGATTGACCTTTTCCTTTATTTTTTGTTTGCTGTAGAGCACAAATGTCTATTTCTTTCTCTTTCAAAACTTGGGTTATTTCTTGGTCCCTTGAGTTGAGTGATCTGATATTCCAAGTAATTCTCATCTGGATTTTGGATGTTTTTCGCTTGTCCTTATTTCTTGCCGTAGTCGTCTTCATAGTATCAATCCGGTTCCGAGACTGTACATTGTTTCTTTGAGCAGTATTTGAGTTTACGATTGGTAGGTTGCTAACCAATAAATGTAAATATTTAAATTTCATATTCAAATACTGCAAAATATTTGGTTATTACTCTGAGCTTATGTATAGAAGAAAAGAAAATAATAATTCTGATTGAAATACAAAAAAATGTATTGGATGATTGACCAAAACTCTACGCTATTTCTATATAATAAATTATTATTACATATATAAGCAAATACTGAAACAATAATATTATTATAAAAACAGTATAAATATTTAGAAGGAAAATGTCACTAATCAACAGAAAATATTTTTATTCATATAAAAATTTAATAAAATTATAGGTACTTACTGCTTATTTATATAAAATTTCCTATTTTAAATACAATAAACACAGAAATAAACAGAGAAAATTGCATTTAGCACAAATTTAAATTTTTTTAAAAGTTTATATCAAATAGCTGCTTTGTGTTACACTTTATGTTAAAAATAAAAACAGATTCGGAAAGTGGGTCAAATTTTGTAGTGCCCTATTTCAAAAAAAAAATTTACGTTTATTTTAACCAAAATTATTTGAAAAAAAATATTGTTTAAACAATTTATTTAATTTACAACAAAATAGTGCACTATAACTTTTTAGACCTTCCATATAAAAAAAGAATCATCTCAATATCTGCCATAGTTTTTGCGTTATTTGATATAAACTTTTACATTGGAATTTACCTATGCCCCGAATCGCGAGGATCGGCCTTAATTGATGCCGGCATATATTGGTTATAGAAAATTGTTGCATTTAGTTAGATTTATTCATCTATTTACTGAAAGATACTGTCACTTCTCGCGGTTAGCAAGGTTTTTTTTTTCAAAGAAGAAAGAACTTTTTTTATATAATATACTTTTGCTGCATCATGTGGCTTATTTCGTTTATTAAAATATAAGCTAGACAAAGTAGTAAAATCCAATTTATGGATATTTCTTCTTTTATGGCTGTATTGCGTAAAGACTTGCGTTCAGACCAGTACATGCTTATTGCCGACAAACGACATTATGGAGCATTAAAAGGGCACATTCTTTAGTATATACATTTAGTTTTACCTGGATATATTTCTTGAATATTTTTCTTTTTTAGTTCTCCCAATATTTGATTTGTACAGTGACTTATTTGCATAATAAGACTTTTCGAAAACATTAAATAGAAGTAGTCAATCACGGTCAGTCATACAATGACCAAGTCGTCTTCTTAGCCTAAAATATAATTTCCGTCGCTTTAAAATCTAGTTGTTAACATATCTATGACCAGAGAGAAACTTAGACTCTCTTTGGACAGCTTTTAGCTACCAGTGCTGACACTGCATTCTTCACGAACAGTACGTGTACCAGACTGCTATTCAGTATACAGTCTATCCACCTTCAATTCTGTTCTGCCAAATTTTCTCTTAAGTTTGCTTTGTAGCAAATGTTAAAAGCAAATCCTTGATCAACAACGAAACTTTAGAGCAGTTGTTAAACTACAAATATCTAGCGCTTGATCTCCCCAGTGGACACAACCTTGACAATTTTTAAAGAAACTTATTAGTAATATATCAAAAAAAGTATTAAAACATGTAATTTAAGTTTACATAAATTATTTTGTTTCATTAAACTGATAAAAATATAAATTATTATGTAATAATACATATATAAATAAATACTGCGCAGCAAATATTTTTTAGGCATTTTAAATTTTAGGTGGTTATAGTACACCATGTCCAGAACGTAGTGTGGAAGTCGAAGTACCAAATTCTGTCAAAATAGGAGATAGTGTAACCCTCGTTTGCAATTATAAACCCAAAACCAAGGAAGATGTACTCATTAATGTACGTTGGTTTAAAGAAAATGACGAATTCTATCGATTCACACCAGATGAGAAGCCTCCCATGAAAGTATTTATTCTGCCTGGAATAACTGTTGATGTATGTGTAATTAATTATATGTAGTATATACAAATTCATCACTTATCTAGCAACAAATGATAAATAACATACGGTCACGGTTTTAAAAATACTTCCATGAAGATTAATATGAGCGTAGGGGCCAGCGAGGGGATATGGTGTATATGCAATAGGCAACTGATACGTTTGTCTCCCTATACTGTCTCGTTTCGATTTTGTACGGTTTGGTTAAAGATAAACTTTGGTTCAATTGAGTCGCAGCCTGACTGTAGAAGTAGTAGCGCATCCAGCTCTCCCCGCCAGAGACGAGTTCTCAATTGTCCCATTCCTACATTAAAGTTTACACCAGCTTAGCGCAGTCGCATCATTGTCACTAGCTCCACTTCTTTGACATATATATCTAGAGGCGTGATGCCTATGATCAACTCCACTGCAGCAGTTGGTGTTGTTTTCATGGCACCTGTTATATTTATGCAAGCCATCCGCTGAATATGGTTTAGTTTGTTTATCGCTGTTGTCTGAAGCAATTTTGGTAACCAAGCAATAGCTCTGTAAATTAGTATTACAGCAGTGTAGACCCAGTCGATCACCCTGGGCGAAAGGCCCCAGGTGCGTCCGATTCTTCGTCGACACTGCTCATAGGCAATATATGCTCTTTTAGCTCTACCATTGAAGCATATTCATAAGTTCTTTAAATTATTCCCTTTAGTAAATTATTTTCACGCCGCCCATGCCTGCATATTTTCCTCAAATAACCGACGCTACCGAGCGATTAGTTATGCCTTTTTTTTAACAAAGAAATAACTCCGCCAAATGTTTCTTCTGCTTTTTATCTTGTTTTGGTCCATAAAATTCTTTCCTAATAACAAAGGAAAAAGGTCTCTATTGTGAAATCTCCGAGCTACCTTCTCAGAAAAACAGAAGAGTTGTTTTTCGTAGAAAGTTACTTTTTATTGGTAAAAGCTATGAAAATGGACCCCAGTAGCCCGGATATTTAATGTCAATTTCGCGTGGCATCCTTCAGCCAATTTCCCCTCTCTATTTTTAACCTTCGCTTGTCTAAGCCCTTCTAAGTTCACAATCCGATGTTCATTTGCAAGTTGGTTCCTGTGGCAAGCGGTCTTATCTTCGACAATCGGCGACGTCTTCCAATTGAAGTCACTTCTCTTTGCCGTTTCATATTCTACTCTACACCGTTCAGATTCTACATTGTTCAGATTCTACCACGTTCAGATTCTACACCGTTCGTTCACCTCGATCAACAGTCATTCTATCTGTACTACTTGTACTTTTCGTCGGCCTAAGACCATCTAAGGGATTACGTTAAGTAGACCGCAATTCTTTGTGGGTGTCATCCCAACTACCTGTTGTACGGACCGAAGTCAAGTGCCTTATTGAGGGCGTAATACCATTATTTGAATACACCTGTTTTGTGAGTATAAGTTTTTTTGACTAAGCTGTGATAACGAAATCTTTAGAAGTTGATTTATGACTCCAAATCAGTGTACCTTCTTATTTATGGAGGTTTAGTTTGACTGAGTGTAAAAATACAGGATAATATATACGTATAAATAACGTACAATTTATTTTATATGTAGATTATATTTCTGATAAATTTTATTCTTAGATTTGAAGTGATCACGATCAAAAACCTAGTAACTTTATATTTAGGTATCCTCAAGGCATAAAATTCACTTGCTTGCCAAATATTAAAGTAGATATAATTATAATGTTCCTTGCCTTTTGCTAATTCTTGAGAATACTAAATTATTTATAACTTTTTCACAAAGAGATATTTTTTGTTTGTTATTAATAATAAGTTGCGCAATAATCATGCCATTTAACTGTCCAATAAAATTTGGTATAATACATTTACTTTAACAAATATACCTAAATATAATTTTGTTAAAGATCTATTTGCTTTTTATTTCTTTATATTTTTGTATATAATTTGAATTTATATTTTTGTGTTTCTCTTCCAGACATTTTTTATTGAATTATATTATTATTTGTTTGATCGTATATTTTGAGTATATGTGTCGAAATATTAAGAGTGTACCGCATAATTCCGATACCTTTTCTCTCACGGTTTACTTTATTCTCGCGCGAGTTCTCTAGCTGTACCTTACCTTTCTCGTCATCCTTTTCTATGTGCCTTAAGGTTTCCCTATTCCTCTAAAAATAGGGTGGTGCCCAAAACACTTTTCTTCTCTTATCTCTTATCTTCTCTTCTACTTCTTGTCTTTGTGTTGTAAGTACTGCTTTAATTGATCTGTGATATTTGAGCTGTAACAAGAACCCCGACCAAGATACCTCTACCAGACTGAAGCCCGAGCCTAGTACCGTTCTTTGTGTAACCCCCAATCAATCATCAAGAGGGTACACCATCTAAGTGTGAGTTCCATATTAACTTCCTGTCAAGGGTAATACCAAGGTACTTCACCTCGTCAGAAAAATTTAGACTGTAGTTTGGAATCCTTAGGGGTATTAAACCCGTAATTCTTCTTTTCCTGGTAAAGAGGACCATCTCTGTTTTTTTTTACAGGATTTATAGATAGTGAGTGTTTCTTGCATCATTTTTCTCTTAGTCGGAGAGCAACTTGTAATCTCTCACATAGTGTGTTCTCAAACCTTACTACTTTGCTGGACAGCAATATCGTCTGCATAGGCTATTGAGTAGAAACCGTTGCTGCTGAATTGGTCAACTAGGGTATCTAGAACTTAGTACAGGGTATCTGTAATTAGTTAATTACTAATAGTATAAGTTCAATAACCAACACATGTCAAAACATATTTACTCTAAAAAAATTATTAATAATAAAAAGTATTTATTTTGTTGACAATTAAATATTGGGATATAAAACCAGTATTTATTTTAACAACACAGATATACCATTTTTAAAGTAAAACACTTGCACGTCACGATTTATACAAAGTGACGTCACTTGTATTTAAAATTTCCAGAACATCAACCTTAGGGTTCAAATTTTCTTAACACAGCTAATAATACGAAACCCACACGGAACTGCTCGATCTTTCATAGGCGTCAACATGGTGTAATAATCAGAAAAATGTAATAATCATTATATTGGAAATTTTAGAATTATATTGAATAAATAACCAAAAACATTTGTTATTATTAATAATATAAAATTATGAAATAAATCTTTAAGTCTAATACTCCACAAAATAATAATTTTAATTAAATATATTAGACAATTGTACGCAACTGATACGGAAATACTTCAAATTTTATTGACAATTCAGCGTTTGGCAAAAGTGTAAAACGTGTTGCCGCTTTTTTAGGGTAGGAATATTGTTTATGTTTTGATTTCTTACACATTTTGATCATGTTCTTCTTCTTCGTCTAGCCATTCACGTCCACATCTGAACATAAGGCTCTTTAAGTCTTCCTTTCCATTGTTTTTTATTGTAAGCTACTTGTAGCCATCTGTCCATCTCATAGGAGGTCTGCCTCTGAGTCTTTTGTGTTGGTATGGTCTCCAGGTTAAAATTGAACTGTGCCATTTGTTTAGATCGCTCCTAGCTACATGTCCAGCGTATTCCCATTTCAACTTTAATGATTTTTGCACCACATCGGTGACTTTGGTTTTCTGTCTTATCCATGTGTTTGTTTTCTTATCCTTAAGTGATATACCTAGCATTGCTCTTTCCATCGCGTGTTGAGTGACTCTAAGTATATTCATATTCTTTTTTGTGATTGTCCACGTTTGTGCCGCATAAGTTAATATCGGAATAATGCATGCATCAAAAACTTTAGATCTAAGATGTAATGGAATTTGTTGATTTGTATATAGTTTAGTTTACCGAATGCTGCCCAAGCTAACTTTCTTCTTTCTATTTCTTCATAGCTTTAAAAACTAATTATTGTTGTGTATTGTGATATGCCAAAACAAATAAATAGTCTGTAGAAAGCTGATAAGCTTTCATATAAGATAGAATATTTTAAACAAGAAATATTGGCGGGAAGTTTTTACTATTAAATCCCTAAAAGAGGAAGAGTAAAATTTAGAATATATAATTTTGTATTAAAATGTTTTCTTATGCATTTTAATGTGTTGCAGTAGTCTTAAAACTAAGTGTATTTAAGTATTGTTAATATAATAGTTTGACAAATCGTTGAAATTTTAAAAATTCCTCACTTACTAACTATTCTGATGTTTTGGCAACGCTGTGGCGTTCTGACGACGTAAATCTTAAATGACGTGCAAGCTCTTTTATATGAAAAATGCTATACATCGTTATTACACTTAATTTAAGTTAGAATACATTTGTGCTTTGACTGGATTAAGTAAATGCACTATTTAGAGGTAAATTCATTTCTGATCTGCTCTACTTTAGCTTTAAGTTCTTGTAATGTCCATTGTGGGTTGTGTGATTTTACCGTATGGTCTACTTTGCTTTATCGATTTAAAATCTGGACAATCAAAGACAAAAATCTACATAGATTGGAAGCTTTCAGTTGAGATGTTACCGTAGCATGCTCAAAATTCCATGGACAGCACACATATCCAACGAACGTGTGCACAAAGAGGAGAGCATTGATGAACAACATCAAAATGAGAACGATCCAATACTTCGATCATATAATTAAAGGACCTGATGTCCCCCCAGTATATAACTTATGAGTGAAAAGAAAACAACTCTCCTAGTTGGGTTACATGAGGCTATGGACAGGTTGGACGGACCAGGCAATGTTTCATATAGCTACCGACCTAAAAGTAGTCCAGCAGCTTATTAACACGACGATAACCAATGCTTCAAAACGAGCTCGGCACACAAAGTTTTTTTATAAATTGTTTGGTTTGAAGATTCATTGTGGCAAAGAGAGCATATACTGTCATAATTTATTTATAGTCAGTTACTACAAAAAATATAAGATTCGCCGGTTATATCACTTTTATGTTGTTTTATATTTAATAAGATATTTTAAAACTATTTAACTAAACTTAAACTAACTAAAAATAGTTTTAGAACCATCCTAAATGAACAGAAATTTTACAATACTAGTAACTTTGGCTATGTTAACTTAATCCTACTTTTTTATCGCCAGGAAAAGAGAAGTTCCGCTAAAACAGTGGTACTGAAAAATGTGCAAAACCAACTTACAGCAAATTATACCTGCGAGGCCAGTTGGACTGTACCGAACATCGCAACTGCTAAAGCTTCGAAACAGATGTATGTAGTTGGTAAGTTTTTATATCATTAAACTATTTTAATTTAAAATTCATCCATTACAAAATATTTTAACACGTTGAATGCCCTAGAGGTTTCTGTAGTACTTTTGTTTACGTCAATGGTAGTTTGATCATAGGTAAATTTTTCGTCAAGCCATAGCCCATGGTGCATTTTATGTGTAGGTGCAGTAAAGACTCACATTGGACATTTTTTTAAATTCCTTTTATAAAAAAAAATGAAAAGATGCTCGGTGATATAAACCTTTATAATAGTTCACACAGTATTCCGCCAACTCGAGTCAGATCATGGGAATGGTTGTCTTCTGTATACGACATTTGTCTACAAGTTCATGGGACGTATTTAAGTTTTTAAGGACTCAGCATCAATCACATATAAATCAACACTACAATATGTAATAATAACTTTCGAAAATATGTCGTCAATTTTATCGGTAGAGTTGACTAGACTGGTTAGGTCTAGTCACCTCTACCAAGGTAGAGGTCACCTAAACTTAACATTCAATGGGTGGGGGAAGGGAAAATAATTTTGGTCACACATATTTGTACAGCATTAAATTCATAAGGGACTACTTAAATATTTTTTAAATGTAGCAACATTGTATATCAGAATTGTCAACAATCTTCATTAACCCTCCGTTAGTCGCTAGGAAAAACTGAGCATCAATAGTCGCTACGGTGACTGAGACCGACAATTAAAAAAAAATGTTTTTAATATAAAATTCATAAAATATTTTATATTGTGTATAGGAATAACTAAAAAATATTTTTGAAAATATTTTATTGAAAAAAAAAACAGAGACAAAATGAAAAACACTAGTCTAACAATATATTGTGAATATTGTTCGGAAGCTATTTTCTTGTGGCATTTTAAAGTAATTACTATTTAAATGGGAATAAGCCACAATTAAAAGTTAAAGTAAGTTTATTGATGTTTTAATTTTTACATCAGATATCGTTCTCAAAATACAAACATTAGTTTGTATTACGTACTATATAATTTTCTTGTCTTGTTTTAACATTTTACGGTGGAATAGCCTTTTTTCATCTAGTAACGCTGTATTTTCCAATAAACGCTAAGGTATTACTTCCACTTTCTTTTTTCTCATCTGTCACATCTGGTTCCGATTCATTTCCACCATCATCACCTCAATTTGATCTATTTCGCTTTCACTTCCCTTATCGTCAAAATAATTTTCATCGTTGGTAGGAATCATGTCCATAATTCCAACAAGCGTTGGAATCAAAGTTGTTTGGCTTCAAAGGACATCTATAAACAAGAATTGACAAAAACTTACCGATAAAATGTAATCATAATATGATAACTATTTACCTGTTCTGTAAGTTCTGCAACAAATAATAGCTACACCGTTAGTCGCTACGGACTCTGGCACCGAAAATAACTGTAAAACTCACACAACTGTACCCAGGAATGTAAGACTGTACACTAACACGAGTTTGGTTGATAGAGACAGGTACAGAAAGTGGCGATAGAAAAATAACAGTTATTTGTAAATCCCTAATGAATAATTTTGTCGTCGGTGTGTGAGACCGATAGCGACTAACGGAGGGTTAAGAAAAAAGCAAGTTAAAATTAGTTATTTTAAATTCCATAAATATTTTTTTGTAGATGAATTAAAAGGTGAGCTTATACTAACAGTGGAAAACGATAGTCCTGTTTTTGGCGAAGTGCTACACGGAGTATGTATTACTCCTCCATCTGTAATTGCGCCAACTTTTACATGGTTCTTGAACGGACGTCAGGTAAACAATGCTAATTATAAGCCTAATTTAGATATTCTTACTTTTTTTTTTTATTTTATATACCAACTGGATAGAGACGATAGTCATTTACCTTCTGCAAACAAATATTATACCATTGTATAAAAATGTAATTTAAAGGGAAGTTTGCTAGTATTAGCACTATTAGCATCCATTCTATAAGGGAAGAAAAAGAGGATGATGAAAAACACATGTTCTCTGCGGCATTAGACCGAGAGTACAATGAGTGCCCAAAAAATGACATCAAAATAATAGCAGGAAACTTTAATGCCAAAGGCGGAAGAGAGAATATATTTTCGCCCTCCATTGGAAAGGAGCGAGTACACGTGGACTCTAATGATAACGGTCACAGAATCAAAATCTTTGCGATATCTTAGAACATGGTAATAGATGGAACACGATTTCTCCATAAAGATATACATAAGGGAACTTGGAAATCTCCTAATAATGAAACGATTAACCAAATAGATCATATCTGTGGCTTGGTTCTAAAAGGGCCAATGTTAAAAACAGTAGTTTTAAGATATATAAGTTGGAAGATTTACACAAAATTGTGAGTTTAGTTGTCGACCCATTTCCACATTATTGGAAATTGTCGTTACGTGAAATTATCAACAAATAAATTATTTTTACAGATAGACTAAAATGTTCAACATTGTTCGATTCTTTCTTGAAAAAAAAATGTCATCGGCCCTTTTTTAAACAGAAAAAAAGTATTTTTCATTAACTTTGACCCTTATTCTATTATCTAAGATACAATTAAATTTACAATAAAAACGCAAAGTTGTTTTTAAAAAATAATACATTACTTTTGGGAGTAGTATAATATTTAGACTTCACCTTCATCACAGCTATCATCACTTAAGGCTGTTTTTATCGGTGCACCAAAATTTTTTCTCCGTTATTTACCGACGAAATGTCTCGAAATTTGGACATGTTATTCGAAATTATGTTGCCTTTAAAATGATGGTTTTACTTTTTTTATTTTTTGAATTTTCTGTTGAAAAACTGGATTATACTGTTTAACGTTCTATTATAACCAAACTTTTTACGCCCATCAGTTGAAAGAGTTTTTTTTCTGTAATCGTTGATTTTTTTTTCACCTTTCTATGTCCAGTAATAATCGAAAAAAGCGTATTCAAACTTTGAAGAAAATTGCTAAAAAATACTGAAATCTAATAGTGAAACGTGTTCCTCATCATTGTCGCTGAGCTTGATCGTTATCGCATTAGTGACCTCAAATCTCATGAACGTACGATACGGTCAGTTAGTGCGCTTGAATCAGAATCCATTTTAGTTCTTTCATTCTTGTATTTTCTTTATCAACTTGCTTAGTTTTTACAGTTTACAGTATTCTTATTTATTTTGAAAACATTGAAATTCTTTAGTTTACGGGTATGTTTAAGTAATATATTATTAGTTTAGTGGTATTAGTTAAAAGTTCTTTAGTTTAGGCGTATTTTTAAGTATTACATTAGGTTAGTGATATAAGTTATAAGAGACAAGATAAAAAATGAGTCCCAGTAAACGTCCTAGGCTAAGGAAAAGGAGAGCAATCATCCACGTCCATGGAAACTGATATAATAGTTGAAGGTTTTAAAAGAAGTGTGGAGATGCATCGATTAAAATATATACAATTAGTAGGTGATGGAGATAGCAGTGTATATAATTCATTATGCATTAAAAAACCATATGGTCCAAATATTTTAATTAAAAAATTGAATGCATAAATCACCTTTTACGCAATTATTGCAATAAATTGAGATTTGGCAGCAAAAAAAATTTCAACTAAAATGAAACCTGTGGCGCCAGAATTAAGAAAACGTTTGTCTAGTAATATACTGAGATTAAAGACTAGGAATCAAAACAGCGATAGCATACAGAAAAAATGAACAGATAGTATGGAAATTCAAATGAAAAACTTAATAATAAAAGACATAAAAAATTGTCCGTACCATGTCTTTGGACAACATACAAACTGCGATCAATATTTTTGTAAAGTATCCAAAGAAATGGAAATAAACTTTGTTATGAAATTAAAAGAATGCGGATTATTGAATGACATTCTCTCGTGTGGGAACAGACTAATTCAACATACTCATAGCTTATTGTTGAATATGAATAATAATGCATCAGAAACATATAACTCTGTGATTTCACTGTGTTTGTTGGGGGTAAAAGAATTAATTTTGTTTTAAGAGGTAGCTACGATACACGTTGTAATTTTGGAGTTGTATGCAAATTGAGGAAATCTACAAATCCTGCAAACACCACAAAAAAAAAATACTGTTTTCAGATTTTCGCGGGTCTGCTGCTACAAGGTGGGGACAAGATCATGAAGCAATTGCAAAACTGGAATTTGAAGTAAAATATAATTTAAAAGTACGCGAATGTGGATTATTCATTTCTGCAGAAAATCCGTTTGTTGCAGCGAGTCCGGATGGCATTATTGATGACGATCATATCGTAGAAGTAAAATGCCCCTATTCGGCTTGCAAGTTGTCCCCAGAAGAAGCTGTTAAATTAAAAAAAAAAATAAATACCTAATACGTGAAGAAAATAGTTTTAAATTAAAACACACCGATAATTATTTTTATCAAGTTCAAGGACAGCTAGCAATAGCTCAGAAAAAATATTGCTACTTTATTGTTTGGACACCTATGGGTTTCATTGTTGATAAGGTACGTATTTATATTAGTTTATAAACGTATTAGAAACTTTTTTCATGTCAGAATTTTTAATGTATTCAAACAATATTTTTTACTATTATTATTATTTATACATCATTATTTATCGTATACTTAATACTGATACCTGCACATACAAAATTACACAAACTAATTTAAATATTTTCTAATTACAGATAAAAGCCGAGCCGGAATTTTGGAAGCAAATATTGCCAAAATTGAAAAAAATTTATATTGAAAATATATTGCCACATATTTTAATTAGTTAAATAACTATACTTTAGTCACTGACATAGAGCGACCAAGTACTGCTTAAACGTTTCGAGAGAAAAATTCTGAGGAAAGTATATGGAGGTGTCCAAGAACAGGGTTTGTGGCGTAAGCGTTACAACTTTGAGTTATACAGAAGTTTTGGGGAACCTGACGTTGTAAAATTTATTAAATTAGTACGCCTTTGATGGATAGGACATGTAATTAGGCGAGATGAAGATGAAACGATCAGAAAAATTTTCGACCGAAGAGGACCAGTGGGAAGACGATCCAGAGGAAGACCAAAACTTAGGTATCAAGATAACATAGAGGATGATCTAAAATATATCGGAGTTAAAGCATGGAGAAAGTTGCCAGAGGCAGGGGCGAATGGAAGATTAATCTGAAGAAGGCTTTGGCTCATGACGAGCTGTAATTCCACTTTTGATGACGATGAAATAACTATCCACGATTTGTGTTTTATTCATCAATTGAATACTTTTCTTATGTAACTGCAACCTATAAATATATTAAAATAATGTATATTTCATTCAGAGAACTTTTTCCTCACAGTGCATCGCCTCGAAATACTTGCCAGATAAATACATTTACTATTATGATGGTTTCGCAGGTACCAATTTTTTATAGATAAATAAAAATATTTTTTGTTTCATTTTTACTACGCTAATATCAGTTTTCTCTAACAAATAAATAACTTCTTGAAATCATTTTCAAGCTATAACTGCGAAATTGTTTATTTGTTTGTGACAACAAATTGTAATTTTTTTGATAATAATATTCTTATGGTATTTTAAATTTATTATAAATAAACACCATGGTGTTTTTTGCAGTCACGTTTCACAAATTTTTATTGAATACTATAGTTAGCTAAGACATATAAATTAAAAATGTGATTAATTCTTTTTAAAACATTATCTACGATAATCAATCTAAAAAAAAGTATTCCGACAAAACTAATTTGAATGGAGAATAATGTATTTATTGTCATTAAACAACCCGTGTGCCGGCGCCACTGAATGAACATTCAAACAAATTAACACTGCACATTTCAAATTAGGAAGTCACGTAGAGTCTGACGTAAGCAGTGTAGAAAAGTAAGTGATAGGCCCACTTCAAATCGCAGTATGCTATAACTGCGAAAACAGCCTTAAAGTGTCAATACCAGTTGATGATGGAGTTAAAGAATTGATAAACTGTTCATAATATGGACGGCTGCTTTGGTCGATGTAAGTCATCAAGTCTCTAAGATGCTGTAGTTTGTTCGCTGGAATTCCCAACGGCTTCGTGAAAAGTGGTCTCAATGTCGATTGTGATGGATGCCTAGATTTCCTAACTAAGTTAACAGTCATAAAGGCATATTCCGCCTCGTATGATGTTTTGTAAAAAAATATACCTGGATTTTCACAGCTGTAACGCAGCATACTTTTTTTTTCCATGGTACTGGGTCTCCATTGGTATTGACTTTTCTTTGTTGATAGTAGTTTGTCAGCATTGCTTTGAAGTTCAAAAACTGGTTCTGCTCCATTTCGTTGACAATAATAGGAGACTTTCTTGGAACCAATCTTATCAAGTTGGCCCATCTCTAGGGATATCAATATTGGCAGTAGTTACTGTCTTCGTTTTTTCTATGGCTGCATGAATCGAATCAGCTTCCATATGGGTGTGTCCTGGAACCAAAAACTTATGTGTTATTGTCACATGTCGTCCTTCATTCCGGAAGTGTTCAATACTAAGCAGGAACATTACAGCGAAGATATATGTTTTTGTTTTGGCCTGGGCAACAGTCACTATAAAAAATAATTTCTCTAATGCTCTCGGGAAGATTTTTAAGTAAGCAAATATACAAGATGCAATTTCTTGACCACCACGGTTTGCAAGAGTTTCATTCCATAAGTAACAAATGGCTGAGTTGCTTGTAGCATTCGATTCAAAAAGAGTTAAGTTCAACGTCCATAGTTTCCTTTTGTAAAAGGAGTAGTTGTTTTTTAGTAACGGTGTAGGGAGACATTTTTGGAGGTCAAAGCT